TAACGTTCTCGGTTCCTTCCCAGCTTTTTCTGCCCCAAACCTCACTTCCCTGCTCCAGTCTCCCCTCCGCCCACCCTTTTTTACCCCCCAGGCCGCCCCACCCTATGAAAGGTGCCTCCCCATTCTACCCTCTTCTCCCCGCCCACCCTATACCCTGGGGGAGGGCAGCAAGGTGGGCCAGGGGCCCAAGAGAGGAGCCCAGGGCCGGAGCAGCAGGTGGGCCCTTGGTCGGGAGGAGGCTGAAGGCAGGGGACTGGGTCTTGAACCTGGGAGAGCACCTGCAGGACAGATTGGAGGACAGGGGCGGGGCCTGGCAGTGGGCTCCGTGGTCCGGCTTCTCTCTGCCACCCAGGAAGCTGGGAGATGGACAGAGATGCCGCTCTGGGAAGCGCATGGAGACAATTCACCAGCATCTGCAGAGCAATAAAGTCACTGATGAGGTGTGCAGCCGCAGTCCCAGGTTCTGTGGTAGGCGCTTCTCCCGCCGCTGTGTCTGTGTCTGGGGAGAGGGTCGCTGGGGGGAGGCCTGGGAGTCTGGGCTCAGCCCTAGGGTAGCGCTGGGGGGGGGCACGGAAGGAGGTGAGTCTCGGCCTTTGTGAGTGTAATTTTATGTTTGGCCTGGTGGGAAGGCATTGGAAGGTTTCGGGCAGGAGTTCCATTGTCCGATTCATACTTTAAAATCGATTTTAGCTGCTGAGCGGGAAACGGGGAATGAGATGCAGGTGAGCGGAGTCCGTTCAGGGAAGAGCCGGGGGCCGGCGGCTGTGGGGAGGCTGACGGTCAGCAAACCGGCTCCGAGTCCAGATGCCTGGGTTTCAAGGTCGTTGCCTGCTAGCTGTGCAGCCTTGGGAAGGTGACTTGACCTCTCCGAGCCTCCGTGTTTGTTGAGGGCTCAGTGAGCCCCGTTCCCTGCCTCGCGGGGTGCGGGAGGGTCCGGTGAGGCCCGCGTGCTGACGGTGCTGCAGGGGAAGTCCCTACCCCGTGCCAGCGGCGCCCACCTTCTGCCACACCCACCGGCGCGAGGACGCGGGGCCCGGCCAGGAGCCTGCGGTCTCCCTCTGCCCTGGGTGGGCGCCCAGAAAAGCCCTTCACGGGGCGCGGGGCTGCGCACGTGCAGGTGCGGGGAAGAGGGGGCCGCAGACGACGGGAAGCGGCCGGGATCTCGGGGCCTGCAGCTCTGCGCAGAAATGAGGAAACCCTGTGGGTCGGCAGGGGACCCCCGGGAAGCAAAGGGCAGAGCCAGCAGGGCCTGCCCCCCTTCACTCTGGTTCCTTCTGAGAAGGAGGGAGAGACACAGATACACCGAGAAACGCACAGCACAGGGAACAGAGTAGCATTGGGATGACTATGGAGGGGCTGGGGGGTCTGGGGGGGACTGGGAATATCGGGGGCTCCCTCCCTAAGGTACAGAAACGTCTGATCACGCTGCGCACCTGACACTCATATAATACGGTATGTCCACTGTCATCGAGAAATGAATTTCCAAAAATTAAAACGAGCAGCAGAGGGAGAGAGCGCCGCCCGCACAGACGCGTTGGATCTGTCCACCCGCCGGACACTGCGCCGTTCCAGCGGCTACGCGGGGGTCCGGTCCTGCTGTTGACCCCGAGGCTGGACCCCTCTGCCCTGGGGACCGTCCTGCGCCCTGTAGGAAGCCCCTGAGCTCCACCCACGAGACGCCAAATCGCAATAAGCAAAAAAAAAGTCTGCGGCGTGGGCGGGTGTCCCCAGGCGAGCACCGCGGGGCTGGAGACCAGCGGGGCCGCATCGCCGCCCTCGCCGAGCTTACTTTGCAGGGAGGGAAACTCCCACCCAACAAGGGAACCAATGAACAGGTGCTTCACGCGGGAGGGGAAACGGAGGCAGCGAGGCGGATGGGAAGACGCGAGAGACTCGCGCAGCTGCAGGGCCTCCCGGGAGAAACCGAGGCCCAAAGGTGCTGGGATACTGAGCCCATCCCCAGTAGGGGGCGCTCTCACACCCACGCTTCTCTCACTTCCCCCCTCTCTCAAAACAAACAAACAAAAAACCAAACAAACAAATCAATCCAGAAAAAAATCCCACCAATATGTAAAACATTAAGCGGTGCTGTTGAATGGCTCGGTGGGAGGTTGCAGATAAAATTCCCGGAAGGGAATCCGCATATGGCGGGAACAGAATGAGTCCTGGTTGTTTGCAATAGCTCCTCCTAGCAAGAGCCCCCTCCGCTTCCTCCTGGCTCACCCCTGGTCCTGGTATCCCGTCTTCTCACCTGGCCAGGTAATATCTCTGAGACCCCCCCCCCC